AGAATAATAAAGCTGTTAAGGACCTGGTGGTGCTGCTGTTTGAAACCGCACTGCTCTCTTCTGGTTTCTCCCTTGAGGATCCCCAGACTCACTCCAACCGCATCTACCGCATGATCAAGCTAGGCTTAGGCATTGATGAAGATGAGGTGACTGCTGAGGAACCCAGTGCTGCTGTTCCTTATGAGATCCCCCCACTCGAGGGTGATGAGGATGCATCTCGCATGGAAGAAGTCGATTAAAAGTTCCTACTGTAACACCCCTTTGCCCCTGTATAACATCCCTGTCTCTCCCACAGCAGCCTTGAGTTGCCCTCTTCCATCTGCTGATAGCTAGTATTTTTCTTTCCTGTCCTGTGTGTTAAGACAGGATGTAACTCTGGCCTCAACCTCAAGAATGAGGTGGGATATTGTGTATTGTGAGTTTTGTTTATTTTGTTCTGAAATTAAAGTATGCAAAATAAAGAAGATGACATTTTATACCAAAAACACAAACAATTTTGGAAGCAAAATTATCACTAAAGTGAGAAGTCTGTGTTGTTTTAAGCCACAAAGTTTGTGGCAACGTGCCATAACAGTAGTAGAAAGCTAACACAGTAGCAAAATATATAAATTTCTAGCCGTTTACTTTAAGTATGTGAACAAGATTTTGATGTTTCTTCTCAATTTTTCCTTCTCCAGTCCCTTCACACTTTACCAAATCCAGACCAAAGAAGGTGAACTTTTAGGTTATTAGCTACTCTCTGTTAAAGCAAAAAGGATATTGATGGTATTGGTGGAAAAGCACTAAATTAGCCACAGACCTAGAAAAACAAACAAATCTGCCCTAGAGGAAGTACAACCACGGTGCTCCTTAGAGGTAAGGAGGGTGAAACAACATGATGTCAGGAGGGGCCAATCCTCGAGGGGGAAAATCTGCTCAGCATGCTTGAAAGGTAGAGATTTAACAAACGAGAGGATGACCCTCAACAAGATGGATCAGCATAGTGACTAAAATAACGATGGACTTTAGTATGTTGTACATCATGAAGATGGCCTAGGATAGGACAAAGTTTGGATATATTGTTCATAGGGTCAGTATTACAATGTCACCCCCCACAAGAACAACTGCAACAAAAATTAAATCCTTTGAAGGACTGACTTCTCCAAAGACACTGTATAGAAGAATCGGGAGGATTTTATCCTGAGTGTAATAAATTAGTCAGAAAAGGACAAATATTTTATAAGGTCATAGTAAAGAAATCAAGAGATGAATTGCATTAGGAAAATCTACTGTAAGCGACTTCTTCAGAGTGTTAAAAAACAATGATGTCAGTCTAGACATTAAGATATGCCTGATAAAGACCATGGTCTTTGTAGTTACTTGCTATGCATCAGAGAGCTGGACCATGACCTAGGATGACTGAAGAGGAATTGATGGCTTTGAATTATAGTGCTGGAGAAGAGTATTGAGCATACCTTGGTCTGCCAAGAGAACTAACAGTTCTGGAGACGGTGAAATCAAGCTGCTATTTGGAGCCAAGGATTTTAAGACTCCATCACACATACTTTGCGCATGCAGCAAGGAGGGGAGGTACCAGTCTTTGGAGAGGGCTATCATGCTTGGAAGGGTGGAGGAAGACCCCACATGAGATGGATTGACACAATAATTGGGGTAATGAGGGTAGACATGTCAGAGACAGTGAAATTAGCTCAGGATAGAGTGGGCTTAGAGCTACTGTGCATAGGGTCACTATGAGTCATAGTAGACTTAATGGCAGATAATAACAAACAATATAAATAAAGCTTTACACACAGATAAAATCATTCCTGGATGATTGCTAGGGATGGGAAGGGAAAGGGAGAGAAGTAAATTTAGTAAAAGAGAATGGTCATATTTTGAGATGGTTAAAGAGAAAGGCAACATACAAAAAGGAGTATCAATACAATATCACTAAAAAACAAAGGAAGACATAGAGAAATATAGAAAGATTAATGAAAATCAGAATGACACAAAGTGGAGAAAGTGTGATTTCTTTGTAGATATAGACATTGTTATACAGCAAAATGTGTAAGAAATGTTGAATCAAGAGTTATTTTAATTTATCATTTTTACTGTAATTACAATAACAATGAACAAAAGTAATATTTTTAAAAAAGGGTTTTTTTTTCTTCAAAGAGAAAGACAAACTGGGAAGAGGGGTGGGCAGGGAGGAAAATGTGCAACAATGAATGAATGGCGGAAAAATTAAATGAAAAAAATATATATGTTGCCTCATCTGTTTCAATACAGCATACATTATTTAGTCAATCTTTCTCAGTCTTCTCCCCAACCCCTATGTCAGTCCTTGTTCACAACAGTGGCAATATGCTGTGACTGAGGTATTTCACTCAGCATAATGTCCTCCAGAGTCACCCATTTTATATAATATTTCATGAGTTCCTTGTTTTTCAATGCAGCGTAGTATTCCATTGTGTGAATATACCACAGCTTCTCTATCCACTTGTTTATTGATGGGCACTTGGGTTGTTTCCAACTCTTTGTTATTGTGAACAAAGCAGCAATAAACATGGGTGTGCATGTATCTGCTTGGGTGGCAGTTATGGTTTCTTTAGGGTATATTTCCAGTAGTGGAATTGCTGGGTCAAATGGTATTTCTATTTCTAACTTTTGATACCATTTTACACTCCCACCAACAGCGACTAAGGGTTCCAGTTTCTCTGCAACCTCACCAGCATTTGTTGTTTGCTCTTCTGTTAAATTTTGCTATTCTAACTGGGGTGAGATGATATCTCATAGTTGTTTTTTCTTTCAGTTATTTTTGAAAAAAAATTTCTTTAAGTGGCAGTATATGTAACCAAATATATATCCATTCATAATTTCCATCTGTTGTTGTTTGTTGTTATGTACTATTCAGTCACTTGTGACTCATAGGAACCCTAAGTACAAGAGCCCTAAATCCTGCTCTATCCTGTGCCACCATCACAGTCTCTGACACACCTACTCCTATTACCCCAATTAATAAATCGATCCATCTCATCAGGGATCTTCCTCTTTTGTGCTGTCCCTCCAATCTCCCAAACATGATGTCCCTCTCCAAGGACTGGTCTCTCCTTGTAACATGCCCAAAGTATGTCAGACGAAGCTTCAGAATCCTGGACTCCAAGGAGCAGCCTGGTTTCACTCTCTCAGGACAAAACTATTTGTTCTAGCAGTTCCTGATATATTCAACACTTCTCCAGCACCACAGCTCAAAGGCAACAATTCTCTTTCTATTATCCCTAGTTACTGTCCAGCTCTCTAATGTATAGCTCGCAATTGTGAAGACTATGGCCTGGATCAGTTACACCTTAGTCTCCAGCCTTACGTCGTTGCTCTTCAGTACTCTTGAGAGGTCCCTCACAGCAGACTTTCACAATTCAATTTGTCTCTTGATTTCCTGGCTGCTGGTACCAAGAGTGTTGTTTGTGGAACCAAGCAAACTAAAATTGTTAAAAAAATCTCACTCTCTTCACCACCCATACTGATGCTGCTAATTGGCCCAGTGGTGAGAATCTTTACTTTCTTTATGTTAAGCTTCAATCCATATTGACCTTCTGCAGCAAACACTTCAGGTCCTCCTCAGTTTGAGCAAGCAGGCTTGTTTCATCTGTATAAGGTATGTTGTTGATGAATCTTCCACCAATCCTGATGCCACATTCCTCTTCCTACAGCCCAGCATCCCAGATGATCTGTTCTGCATACAGATTGAAAAGGTATGGGGACAGAATACATCCATGGTGGACACTCTTCCCGATTTGAACCTTGCAATATCTCCTTGCTCTGTTCTGATGACTGCTTCTTGGTTCAAGTATAGGTTTTGCATAAGCACAATCAAATGTTCTGGGATTCCCTTTCTTCTCAGAGTCAACCACAGTTTGTTGTGATCCACACAGTCAAAAGCCTTTGCATAGTCAATGAAACACAGATAGACATTCCTCTGCTACTCTCTGCTTTCTGTTAAGATCCATCTAACATTAGCTATTATATTTCTAGTACCACAGCTTCTTCTAAACCAAGCCTGCACATCTAGCAGTTCTCTGTTGATGTGTTGTTCCAGTTGGTTTTGGATAATTTTAAGCAGAATCTTGCTTGCATGTGATATTAGTGGTATTGTTTGATAATTTCCACACTCTTTTGGATCACACTTCTTTGGAAGAACAAACATCAATCTTTTCCAGTCAGTTGGCAAGGTGGCTGTCCTCCAGATTTCTTGGCACAACTTAGTGAGCACATCCAGGCCAGTGTCTGTTTGTTGAAATATGTCAATTGGTATGCCGTCAACTCCTGGAGCCTTGTTTTTTTGCCAATTCTTTCAGAGTAGCTTGAACTTCCTCCTTCATCACACAGGCTCTTGCTCATATGTTGTTTCACGAAACTGTTCTGTCAGCCAATTCCTTCTAGTACAGTGACTCTGTATACTTCTTCAATTTTCTTTTAATGCTTCCTGTTTCATTTCACATTCTGCCCAAGCATCCTTAATATTGCCACTCGTGGCTTGAATTTGTGTTTTTATTCCTTCAGTTTAAAAAATGCTGAGTGAGTTTGGCCCTTTTGATTCTCTGATTCCAGCTCTTTGCACACATCATTATAATATCTTGCTTTGCCATCCCGTGCTGCCCTTTGAAATTTTCTGTTCAGATCTTTAATTTCTTGCTTTTCTTTGGCTTTGGCTTCTCGACACTCTAATATGATATTTAGAGTCTCAACTGACATCCATCTTGGTCTTTTCTTCCTATTCTGCCTTCCATGAAGAATGAAAAAGATCATTACAAAGGCAGAAGAGGAAGAAAAATTTCTATAAAAGCAGTTCAATAACATTGGTTACATATTTCACACTGTGTCATCATTCAATCTCTACCCATATTGTTTTATTACTATTAATTTAGACTTTCTCCCCCTGAAAGTTCTTGCCTGTGCTTTAGATGGGATATTGTTGGTTTATAGTCATATCCCTCACTCATTCATTGTAGTCGAGTCAGAAAAGACTCATAGCTGACCCTCCAGTGGGTTCCTCCATGCAACTGTAAATACATTTAAACTGTCAGAAAGGTGCTATCTCTGGATTAGCAGAGCGACTTCCTACGCATTCTGAGTAGTCATATAGATAATTCTATACCAGAGTACCATTGTAAAGGCAAATGATTTTAGTAATTTAACGAAACTGCTGTTTAGTTTATTAGTGGCTTCATGGGAAGAGTTCCAGTTCAAGGTTTAAAGATGA